TTTTGTTGTTTGTTTTTTTTTCCCCCAGTCCTTTTGGTGTTCTGTAAGCTTCTTGTACCTTCATAGGCATATCCTTTTTTTTTAGTTTAGGAAAGTGTTCTTCTAAGATTTTGTTGAATATATTTTCTGTGACTTTGAACTGGAGTTCTTCTTCTACCCCAATTATTCTTAGGTTCAGTCTTTTCATGGTGTCCCAGATTTTTTGGATGTTTTGTATTAAGTATCTGTTGGCTTTAACATTTTCTTTGACCAATGAATGTTTCCTCTATCGTATCTTAAACATCTGAGATTCTCCCTTCCATCTGTTATATTCTGTTTGTTATGTTTACATCTGTTGTTCCTGTTCATTTACCCAGATTTACCATTTCCTGAATTCCCTTGGTTTGTGTCTTCTTTACTGCCGCTATTTCAGTTTTCAAGTCTTGAACTGTTTGAATGATTTGCTTCCCCTGTTTGTTTTTCCTTCATTTTCTTGGTTTTTTTTTTTAAAGAGATTTATTGATTTTTTTTTCAATTTTTTATTTGTCTTTTCCTCCACTTCTTTAAGGGAATTTTACATTTCCTCTTTAAGGGTCTCTGTCATCTTCATAAAGTTATATTTAAGGTTGTTTTCTTCTGCTTTTTCTGGATTAAGATTTCAGTTCTTCCTGTTGTATGACTGCTGAGTCCTAATGTTGCCATGTTGCTTTTTAAGATGTTGAATGTGTTCTTGTGTTGATGCCTACCCATCTCTACCTTCAGTTGGTGCAGGCAAGGTCTTTGCCTCTTGGTCCAGTCCTTGCAGTCAGTCTGTGTCTTAGGGAGCCACTCTTGGCCCCACTCTCTGTAGTCACTGTCTGTATCTCAGGGAGCTGCTGAGGTGTCTGGGGGTGGAGTGGGACTTGTAGATTACAGGGTCTGATCAATGGGGAGTGTTAGAGCAGCCTGCCTGAAGGAAACTTGCCTGATGGCTGACTAGTTCAGCTGAGGCAGAGCCCATGCATGGTTCTGGCCCAGGGACTAGGGCCTAGACATTGGGCTTTCCAGCTGGGGAACTGGTCACTCACCTCTTGTTCCCATCTGTGCAGTTACAGCCTTTCCCTCAGAGAACTGCTGATGTCACAGAGGATAGGTGGGTTTGGGGGCAGAATGGGATTTGTAGGTAACAGGATCCAATGGATTAGGGGGTTGTTGGAATAGCCTGCCTGCAAATCAAAACCAACTGCAGATCAAAAAATACTTTAAAGCAGATTGTGTTTGTACTGAAGGTGTAGAGACTTTTCCTTGTCATAATTTCTTAAGAAGTACAGTACAACTTACATGGTGTATTGAGCCTTCTGAGTAAAGTATACAGGGAGGGCCTGTTGTTTGTCATTTGTAAAATGGAAGTCATTTTATATTCACGGTTTTAGTATCCTTGGTTTGGGTGTGCAGGCTGGATTTGGTGGATGGAGCCAGTAGAGGATGTGTTCTTGAACCAAGCTCCTGAAGATTAGTCAGCTGGGCAGTTCCTGACATATTTCAGTGTTACTCTAATTATATTTTATTACATTCAGTTTGGATTTTTAGAATCTCAATTCCATTAGTTTATACATGCTATAGATAGCCACTGTCAATTTTTCAAGTTTCTCTTTTGAGGAACATTTGAATTCCTGCTATTTGTTCTATAATTATATTTATTACATCTTCCAATGTATTTACCATTTGGAAATGGATTATTCATTAATTATGTGGAACTTATTATTTTATCTTTATCAGGGATGCAGTACATCTGGTGTTTGGTCAAACCAGTCCACTTTTAAAAGAACATATACACTGTAGCCCATAGAAACAAATACATAATAGTTCACAATCCTTTTAAAGATAATTCTCCTTTGACATCTGTTTGCACTATGGTGTGGTCATGCAATACAAATCTCATAATGTCAGGATATCCCAAAGGGGAAATGTCTGTGAAAAAGAAGAAACCTGAGAAAGGCAGCATTGTATGATTCAAAGCTGAGAATCTGGATAGAGAATAGATTGACACTCGGGCTCCACAGTGTATCTTACGATGCGACTGTGAACTGAGTCTTTGTATTTCAGTCTTGAAACAAATTTGTAAAATGGAAATGATACAACATATGATTGATAGATGTGACAACTTCCTGTTTGAGTTACTTTGCTCATTCATTGTTGTGACCAAATACCTGACAAAAAGCAGTTTAAGAGGACATATTCTGGCTTACTATGCCAAGGGATCCTTTTGTCATGGTGAGACAACATAACAGGAAGCAGGAGACATACTTTTCCATTAATAAGATATCTTGATATATGTGATAAGATATCATGGCCAAGCCAACCACTAGATGGAAGAATTTTGGGAGGACTTAAAGTTTCTGAGGGTTAGAGTCCATGATCATCATGGCAAGGAGCGTAACAACAGGCATGGTGCTGGACTAGTAGCTAAGAACTTATATCTTGATCTGCAAGTAGAAGGCAGAGATAGCTAACGGGCTATGTGGGCCTTCTGAAACCTCAAAACCTACCCCCAGTGACACACCCATTCCAATAAGGCCACACCTGCTAATCCTTCCCAAACAGTTCCACCAACCTGAGGATCAACCATTCACACATATGAGCCCATGGTGGCCATTCTAATTCAAACCACCATGGCATGGCAGCAAGAGCAAAAGGCCTGCTAGTCACTGAGTATCTGCTTCAGAGAGCAGAGCACAAGTAGGAAGTTGGGCCACCATAAAACCTCAAGACCCCCACCCCCGCTGCAGTGACCCCCCTTCCTCCAGCAACCTTCTACCTCCTGAAGGTTCCACCGCCTTCCCCAGCAGTGCAGCCATCTAGGTTATGAAGACGTTTCACATTCAGCCACAATTGCTGTATATGAAGTAAAAGCAGCCCCTGATGTGTGCTGAGCACTGTATGCTTGCTGTCAATACCCATGTCAGTAGAAGAATATATTCAGGTTTTTCTCTCTCAAACTTAATTTGAAGCATGTCAATTGGTAATACTTAAAGGAGGTCTGCCCGTTGTAGACTAGCTATGGAAGGTATGACAGCCAAGAGAACAAATTTACAGGGAAAACTTACCTGCAGACACCTAGGGTAAATACTAATGCTAAAAGCCTGGGCTTCTAGAGCTTCAGCTTACTTTGGTCTTCTTCAGAATTGTCTTAGATATTTGTCTTTTACAATTTTCATTGTATCTGCCACATTTTAGAAAAATATCCCCTTTGTTCTCTTGTCACTTACTACAATAAAGAATAGTTATCTCACAGGGCGGAGGTAGATCTCTGTGAGTTTGAGGCCAGCCTGGTCTATAAGAGCTAGTTCCAGGACAGGATCCAAAGCTACAAAGAAACCCTGTCTTGAAAAACCAAAAAAAAAAAAGAATAGTTATTCCTCTTCCCATGGCCTTGGAATTTTGTTTAACTGGATGTTGCAGGCTGTCTATGGCAAACTGTCTCTTATTCTCTAATAATGCATCTTGTTGTTTGATTCTCTGTGGCTTGGCTTTATTTCTAATACTCATTGTGACTACTAGAAAGGAAGTATAGTTAAGGACTGAGGCTTCGCCATCTACCAACTAAGTGTTTGTATTTAACTAGTACTGCAAATGTGGCCTACGGGAATTCCACTACTTTAGTCACATTTTAAAATAATGAAGCCAACATTAGGAAGGAAAATTGGAACTAATTTGTGATTTTTGACTAAAATGGGGCATCTTAAAATAAAATATACAAATGTTTAAGATACTTAGGCAGTTGTGTTCTCTCAATTTTATTTTTCATGTTTTGTATGGTTTAATAATAGAATAGTTTTTAAGGTCATTGCAATCATGATGACATCAAAAAATAATTTTGCAATAAAAGCAATTCTACTTAGAGAATAATGAACAAAAATATTCTTATTGTTTTTTTGAGAAGAATAACCTTTATGATTTTTATAACTATTTGTTACTCATAAACTTTGGCTGCTGAGTCTCTCTATGGTGATTGGCTGTTTGAAATCTGAAATTGTTACTCAGTCACTGCCGAAAGGCTGTACAGGTGAGGGTATAGCAAGTGTAATTGGATTTATGTTGAGGTCTTTGATCCACTTGGACATGTGTTTTGTGCATGGGGATAGATATGGATCTATTTGCATTCTTCTACATTCTTCTGACATCCAGTTATGCCAGCACCATTTGTTGAAGATGCTTTTTTTCCCCATTGTACAAATTTTGGTTTCTTTGTCAAAAATTGGGTGTTCATAGGTGTGTGGATTAATATCAGGGTCTTCAATTCAATTCCATTGGTCCACTTGTCTGTTTTTTGTCAATACCAAGCTGTTTTTATTACTATAGCTCTGTAGTAGAGCTTGAAGTTGGGGGATGGTAATGCCTCCAGAAGTTCCTTTGTTGTACAGGATTGTTTTAGGTATCTTGAATTTTTTGTTTTTCCATATGAAGTTGAGTATTATTCTTTTGAGGTCTGTGAAGAATCATATTGGGATTTTAATGTAGATTGCATAGAATCTATAGATTGTTTTTGTTAATATTGCCATTTTTATTATGTCGATCCTACCTATTTAAGAGCATGGGAAATCTTTTCATTTCCTGATATCTTCTCCATTTTTTTTTCTTCAAAGATCCAAAATTATTGTCATACAGGCCTTTCAATTGTTTGGTTAGAGTTACTCCAAGAAATTTTATATTTTTCATGGGTATTGTAAAGAGTGATGTTTCTCTGAGTTCTTTCTCAGCTCATTTATTCTTTGTATTTAGGAAGGCTACTGATTTTTTTGAGTTAATCTTGTATTGTGCCACATTTATAAGAAACTAAGTTCTAATATCTAACCCAGTTCTGTTTAGAAATAGACTGTTTGCACCTATATTTTTGTTTACTGTCAGAAGAGTTTCCAATTCAGGCAGCTTCTACAAAGTCCTTAAGATCATCATCTACTCATTGTGAAAAAATTCATGAATCCTTAAAAGATAGGTACTTATGCATTTTAAAATAACTGAAATGCATGTTTGAATTTTAGAAATCTTCGAGAAGCCAGGGATAATGCTCTCGCTGAAAAGAACCGAGCGGTGACAGCCGAAAAAGATGCTCTAGAAAAGCATGAGCAGCTCCTTGACAGGTAAGAAGGAAATGGAAATGCTAAAATTCTCCAGTGCTTGTTCCTCTTGCATTTTTTTTAGAGAAATTTATTTTAAAGCTAGCTATAGTAGAGCATGCCTGTAATTCTAGCAGTGAGACAGGAAAATGGATCGAAGTTGGAAACTGGCCTATGATTTTCATTTCAAGTTGCAATACAATTTAAATGTAATTGTTAACATATATCAAAACCATGATGTTGAAATTAAGTAGTCCAGAGAGTTCCTGTACTTTTTCAGTGCATCTTACCTACTCCCCTTCTAGAGGCAGCAGCCTTGATTTCTACTGCTGTCGTCAGCCTTGTTCTTCTTAGACAAACGCCAGTGGAATCATATTTTATTTACTCTCTTTGATCTAATTTTCTTGATTTAGCATATTGATCATTCCTTATTTACGTTCTGAATATACTAGTTTGTTAATGTATTCTCCTGTTGAAAAAAAAAATGGGGTTCTTTTCAGTTGCAGCTACCAAAGTCAAGCTGCTGTGAACATTCTTAGTCAAGCTTTGTGTGTGTGTGTGTGTGAGCATGTTTTGTGTATATGTATGTGTGAGCACATTTTGTATATGTGTGACCACATGTTTTTTGTATATGTATGTGTGAGCATGTTTTATGTATGTGTGAGCACATTTGTGTATATGTATGTGTGAGCACATTTGTGTATATGTATGTGTGAGCACGTTTTGTGTATATGTATGTGTGAGCACGTTTTGTGTATATGTATATGTGAGCACATGTCTTTCTCTTTGGTAGACACCTAGGAGTGTAAATTAGTGATTAAGGCATAAAAAATTCTGTGAAACTTACTCCAAAGTGGTTGTGCCTTTGTATTTGCCCCAAATCATGGGTCAGAATCTGTGTGTTCTGGGGTGGCTTTTGTGGGACGTCAGGAGAGAATGCTTTGTCTCCAGTTATCTACAGAGTTGTTTTTTATTAGTCCTGTAAAAAGGAGATCAATGATAAACATGAAGTGAAAAGAGCACCACTTGACTGAGATACTCTCAATTTTAAATAGTTGGATCACATGTAGAGTAAGTAATGTGTCTTTTTGTTTAAACTTTTATTTTGAAATAATCTTAGAAGAGTTGATGAAATAGTATAGAAAGTTTACATGTGCCTTTCACATAGTAATAACCCTTTGAAATTAAGCTCAATGTTTCTTTTACTGATAAAGAAGCACTACAGATTGTTTTGTAATTATCTTTTTAAGAGTTCAGCTTTCACTGTTCCTCAGACTGACCTCAAAGTCTTAGACGTAAATGATCTTCCTGCCTCAGTCTCCCAAGTAGCTGAAACTATGGACACCATGCCTGGCTTCTGTTTTGTAATTTAAGCAATTCATGCAATTAAAATTTGGATGTAGTTTAGTGGAAGAGCATTGCAGAGAATTTGAAAGGCCCTAAATTGGATCTATAGCCCTAGGAAAAAAAATATAAACAAAAAAAAGCCTCACTAAAAATTGTTATGAGGCAGAGAATAATAATAGAAATTGAACATCAGAATTTAAATCTAGTAGATCTTTTGATTTATTGACCATTGATAAGCTGAGTGAATTTTAATATGAATATATATAAACCCCTGGGCTTCTGTCACATCTTCGACTTGACTTGTAGAGTTAAAATGACATCTGAAAATGGCTGGAGCTAACAGTGTCAGATGGAGACGTGCTCTGCCATGGCCTTTCCTTCAGAATCCTGTTGGGATCTTGGCACCTGAGCTTGAAACCAGAAAACCTTAAGAAGAAAAGTGACCAAACTAGGAAAATTCAAAGATACCTTTTAGTGGCAAATTAAAACTGCTGACAGATATTTGAATGGTTCACATGTAAAAGCTGGTTTTTATACCTGAAAGTAAAGAAACACTTTCCAATGGGGCTTTTCCACATGCTGTACTTGATCAGGTAATTCTCTCCTATAAGATATTGAGACAAGCTGGCAGGGAATCCAGGCAGAATGCATATGTCCTGATTGAGGCTTCAGTTGGGTGACTTGAGGAATGTGAAGTCCCCCATTTTAAAAATCTTAAATGTACCATTTTTTATTAAATGTAAATTAATACATGGAGTTTCTTATTTTATCCTTATGTTACCTGTGACAGTTGCTTATAAGAATGATACATTGGTTAAGTTACCCCATAGAAGGAATGATAAGCTCACTCATTTGACAGTATTATTTTGAGGATCTACACATTCATTTTTCTTTCTTTTTTTTTTTTTCCAAAACTCCTGAAAGGTTAGGACTGTGACTTAGAGAGGAGGCTGCCATCCTTGTCCACATCACCATGAATGCTGGCATTTGAGTTGGAAATGAAGGAAGTGGTTGAGTTTGTGTATAGTGTGAAGCTTTAGACTTCATCCTAGCATAGCAATATTGCATTAATATATTACTTAATTTACTGAAAGTTTTCAGTGTGGATTCCAGTATGCTTGATCTAATGTACTTTGACATAGTTTTTGTAATTCTGGGCTATTTAAACACAGGATCTTGTGTATGCCATGGCAATACTTCACCAGTGAGATATACTCCTAGCATATCTGGGAATTGATATATGTTATATTAGTATGTGAAGTAAAATGCAAAGGTAAAACTTTTTTTATTCTTTGGAGATTGGCTTTTTAATGCCTGGATTTGTAAATCTGGCTTCCTTCTTATCAAAATGAGAATAAGCGAATGTGTGTTGATCTTTACAATGAATGTGGCCTTGCTGAATCATGTTTAAGTCTAGCGTCCAACATGTTCCCGTCATGTATAATTGGTATCATCATTTTTTATATGAGAAGGTTTTATCAAATGCCTCATTTTATGATTAAACAACCCGTGTCATTACTTTAAAAAAGCATAAGGAAGCAGTGTGCCTTTTTCAAACATGAATGAAAAAAAAAAAAGGCTTCTACTCAAAGGCTTCAGTTACCTACAAAGAAAAGGACTTTTCTTAGGTATATGAAAGACCTATGTGTGTTCTGATTTCTAGCACAAAAAAAGTCTCTAACATTAAGTAACAACTACCTGGCACTTGAAAACACAAGCAGAACATTAGCTCCAGTCCTGTTGTCTCGAATCTCTGTTACTCCGAGGGTTCCACCCACCAGGAGCAAATGTTATAAGTCAGTCAATGGGAGTGCTGGAAAAGATGGGTACTCTTGACAGAAGCCTGAGTCTGGAGCTCCAGTGCGAGTGCACAATTTCAAATGAATTTACATTGTAAATATTTTCAGCTATAGTTTATCTTTTAAAAAAATATTTCCTTGTCCAGCCTTGATACGGGAGCTTGTGCCTAGTCATAATATAACTTGCTATGCCACGTTTGGTTGATAGCACTGGGAGGCCTTCCCTTTTCTGAAGGGAGAAGAGGAGGCGTGGATCTGGGGAACAGAAGAGGGAAGGAAATTGTGGTTGGAATGTAGCATAGAGAGAAGAATAAATTAAAAAGGGAAAAGAGTCAGGCAGTGGTGGCACACACCTTTAATCATAGCACTCAGGAGGCAGAGACAAGCGGATTTCTGCGAGTTTGAGACCAGCATGGTCTACAGAGTGAGTTCCAGGACAGCCAGGCTACACAAAGAAACTCTGTCAAAAAAAAAAAAAAAAAAAGGAAAAAATATTTCCTGGCTATTCATGATGGCATATCCCTATAATCCTAGCACTTTCAAAGTAGAGGCAGGAGGATCAAGAGATTGAGACTATCCCTCAGCTACATAGCAAATTTGAGGTCCACCTGAGGGACAAAAGAGATTGTCTCAAAAAGTAAAAGTAATGCATGTTTGAGACGAGGGTAGGGGGAGATTTGGGTGTGTTGAGCATCTAGTTTACCTACAAGTACTTTCAAAGGACTTAATTTGAATGTTGTCAGTCCCCACCCCACAACTTCTCTGGTAACGGTAGAAGATATAGCACAGAATGTGCAGGAAAGCGGGTGGTCGGAGTGACATTTGTACCGTATTGAGCTAGTTTAAAAGTCAGTATAGCCAGGCGTGCCTGCATTCCAACACTTGGAAGATGGAAGCAAGATTGTGAGTTTGAGGCCAGCCTGGGACCACAAGAGACCTGTCTCAAAAACAAACAATACAAACTCAGCAGTTGATATGGAAACGGCTCCCACTTTCACAAGAGGAAGATGTTGGCTGTGCTCTCCTTCCCCTCTTCTGTTTCTGTGTGCTTTGCCTTTGCTCATCTGTCCTTTAATCTGCTCCTGCATGTCAGCAAGGACGTGTTTGTGCGGCATACTAGATGAACTTAGTGGAGTGAAGCCTATTAGGATGGGAGCTAGAAAAGGTAGTATCACATCTAAACTTTGTATAAAATGGATCATTTTATAATATTATTCCTAATTCTCATGTCTATAAGTAATTCACATGATCTGTTTTAAATGCAGAAATTGCTAATCTGTGTTGTTCCTAAAGGACACAAAATACTTTAACACTTTGTTAAATCTACATGAATGCATTCTTAAGTGAAATTTTTAGTGTCTGAATTTTATGTTTGCTCTTTTGTGAAGTTCTCCATGTCTGGGTCAGTCACTTTTATCAGTTTGATGAAGTTTGCAAGCTTTAGTTTTGTTACTTGATTCTCTTATTCCTTGTAGTCTTCCTTTTTCTCCCTTAGATCCACCAAGTTCACACTGAACTAGAGTATTCATATACTCACAACTATAGTCACACTAAAGAAACTCCTAGAAAGCATACAATTTCTGAAACCAAAAACAGTACAATAGAAGAAGACAGAAAAACTGATCGTGTTAAATACATGGCACAGAGGCACGACCATGCAACTTTAAAGTAGTGAGAGAGAAATAGTGGGTACAGGGACACAGGAGACCAAACTGGTAAGACAAAGATGTTATAAACAGAAAATAGCAAATAAAAGGACAGCGTGAGAAAGGCACTGTACATAGGGACTCAACAGCATGTGTCCGTGTGCAGGCAGTTAGGGCACGAGGGGGAAACAAAAGCAATGAAATGAAAGAAAGACTTGTAACTTGTTGCCAA